GCATCAAATGGGGGCTGTGTGCTCTACATAGGACATTAGCCTAGCACACATGAACACAACAGATGCACCCTCACCTCCCTGCACCCTAAGTGGGATAAGGGGGTAGAAAGCATCCAGATTTATTGTCCTGGACCTGAACATGCTACTTATGTTCTTAAGAACAAAGGTGGTATGTTGTCTCAATCTGGCTGCACTGTGGACACCAAAAACCAGCATGCAGCTGGGGTGAACCAACAGGCACACTGCTCACTCACCTTCTTAGCAGAGGTGAGAGCAAGACGCAGGGCTGTTCAAGAGATAGCATTTTCAATGAGGACTCCTCCAGGGGCTCATAAGGTGCAGATATTAGAGCCACCAACACAAGCAGCAAGTCCTACTGAGGCCGAGAGACACGACACCGGTCGGGAGAACGCAAGCAATAGCCCTTCTGGCAATGGCGCATGTGTAACGCGTCCATCCCCAAAGGTGGGCTATCCTGTGGCTGAATTGAGAACCACAGCGGGCAGTGGGTTTTGGTAAACAGATCCACCTTCGCTCTCCCAAAGCGAGCTCAGATCTGCTGAGCCACATTGTTGTGCAGTCTCACCAGCTCGGTTGGGGGCCAGCCCTCGACATGAGGTAAGCCACCGCCGTTCTCCAAGCTTGGGATGTGAAGGGCTTTCAGAGACAGCAGGTGTTCTGACGCCCACGTCTATAGGTTCCCCGCCAGCGCCAACAGAGCCCTGGATTGAACTTCGCCCTGTCTGTTGATGTACGCGCTGGAGGAAACGCACCACAACAATAGAAACACAACCTGGAGTGGATTGTGGATGTGTGGTGTGTGGCCTCCTCGGGGAGCCACAACACTCACTGCACTCCCCTGGCAGGTCCCTCCCCATCCAGTGAGAGACTCATCTATGAAGACTGACACGGATGAAGACACCCTGCAGAGCAGCACCTGCGCTGCCAGACAGAGAGAGAGTTGAAGGGGGGGGCACCATGCATCATCTTTGCCTCCTGAGGTCCAGATGCAGGCTAGCAAACCGTCGCATGTGCAGCAAGCCCACAGGGACCACGTGATGGACTACTGCCCTGAGGCCCAACAGCAGCATCACTGACAGCGCTGCCGCAGCTGTCCCCTGCTGCAGCCTGTGGACCACCAAGCGACGCGCACAGATACGCTCTTGGAGTTGAGCACCATCCCCAGATAGCGGTGAACCAGTTGCAGCTGCACTGGCTACAGCATTTTCTTGATCATCAGCATGTGGAAACGGCCTCTTGTCCATTATGGTTCAGGTTCAGGTGGTGGTTGCTCCCTGGTGTCTTTGAACGCACCACGACTTGCTGCTCTGTGGTGTCCTTGAATACTCCACGGTCTGTTGATCCGTGGTGTCCTTGAACGCACCACAGCTCGCTGCTCCAATGACGGCTCAACGTGCAACAGTGTCACCGTGAGCGCGTCATCAGTGGAGCAGTCAATATAACACAGCTGCCGAGTGAAGCCGAGTCAGGACAGGGAATCCTCCTCTCCATGAGCCGCTGTTTACTGTGATAAAGTGCCACGGGCCGCACCGCTGGAAGAGGCGTGTTATCTGGTTGCGTCTCTCCGGCTATATCTGACCTAGATTGGCGTTAGCATGCCGTCGCAGCTAGTCAGCCAGGCGATGTAGGCGACACGTTGCACGGGCCGGACAGCCGGCTAGCAAGAAGGAAGCCCAGGTCCTACTACCGTCTCGCTCGGATGCCACCAGGAGAGCAACGTGGGACATGGGCTTCTGTCCCGGTGGTTTGAATAGCACAGCAAAGGCCCTCACACTGTCTCTCTCGAGCTTAGCAAGGAGAGCAGTGTGGGCTGTAGGTCGAATCATTAGCTTAGCATCGGTGAACGTGCAGTTTTGTGGAGACTGAAGCGCGTTACGCACCAAGCCGAAGATGGAGGGTGTTCGGTGGGGAGGAGAATGCTCTTTAGGAATGTACTGTATTTAATCAGTTGAACATTCACAGCATTTTCAGTGTGTACACAGCAGCACATGAACCACAAATGCATGCTGGACACATAACGGAGGGAGGAGGTCTGGTGGTGTGCACCAGCCTCTGTCCCTCCGTCACCATCTTTTTTTTTTCCGTTTTTAAAAAAAAATTAATAATAAGGCTTAGACTTTTTCCAAGGGCTGCAATCGAAAAGTCCGTGGTGTCCTTGAACGCACCATGGGCCATTTTCGAAAGGTTGAACCGGGCCTTGAACGCACCACAGCCGGTGTGACTGTGGTTGACACGTCACCTGGTGTTGACGTCAGCCTCAAGCTCACAGCTTCCATGTGAAGCAGCGGCAGGGTAGACAGCCTCGCCTGCTGCAACAGGCGCTACGAGCCGCTCGTGGAGGAAACGAAACCAACTGAAGCAGCGAGCGATCTCTTTCATCCCGCTATACCGAGGAGACCTGACTTTGGCTGTCTCTCTCCGGCTATAGCGGACTAGCCTAGCTGCGCTGTGACCGCTAGGTGAAAGAGATGTCAGCAGGGCGGTGTGTCTGTTTATGTAACACACTTTCACCGCCGGTGAGCTAGCAACGCGCTCGTGCGAGTCCCCGTGTGCGCGCTGGGAATGCAGAGTTACAGTACACTGCTGCATTGCCACGGTAAGAACAGCTCTTTTCTCCGCTGTCACGTCGTGGAAACGGACTGACATCGCTGCGCGGACTCGGCGGTCAGGCTAGCAAAGTGGAAGCCCGGGCCTCACCCACCCTCTCACTTGGTTCTGACCAGGAGAGTGGCGTGAGCCGCGGGGCGAACCGTTAGCTTAGCGTCGGTGAGCGCAGTGGCGCGTTCAACACGGCTAGCTCAATGACATGGGGTTGGTGGTGGGGAATTAGCACTTTTAATAATGTAATGTGTTTCTAATAAACAGTTTAACATTCACAGGCATCACCACAGTTTACACCCAAGCAGCACATGTTAGAACTGTGGCTTCGTGAACACAAGGCCGCAGGGCGAACCCTTAGCCTCACCCCAGGAGTTAACGTTAGCTCTTTGATGAGAGAAGTTAACTTGGCTCTTTGAGGAATGTAATTAACATGTTTTACTCAAAAAACGGTTTCCACATTCTCAAAAGCCTTACCATAGTTTTACACAAGTAGCACATGTAAAACAATGGCGTCTTGAACACCAGACGGGGGATTGTGGAAGCGTCAGCAGGCCTCTCTCCCTCCATAACGGTCACTTCGCCAGTTGCTCCCTTCCCCAGCCGCAGGTTGGCTGGGGGGGGGCCTGGACTCGTCCAGGCAGTCCGGGCCGGACATGGGTCACCTCGCCCCGGCTGCAAAGATAATTTTCTAGAAGTGCCGACACCATCCATGGAGGTGGTGAATTCAGTGAGCAGTTCGCCGTTTGCTGAAGAAAAAAGGATGCTGCGGCAGTAGGGACACTGCTATTTATACGTCACGCACGTTTCAAATGAATCTGCTAAAGGGGGAAAAGTATCTCTGTGCAAATCTTAAATCTGACTTTAAGACGTACATACGCCCATCACAATTTTTGGAAGCCAATTGTGGTCAAATAGCAACTTACACAAGAGTGATGTGGAAACTAGAAACTTCCAGGACACAGGCAATAAGAAAGGACTTTCCGTTGAAGTGGAAGACATTTCGTGTCAGTTAGTTATCTTTGTAATGAACAATATTTGCATACCGCTATTCATAGATTATGGGTTTTCCAATAAGGCAGAAGGAGCAGAAGTAACGTAAGAATTAAAAAAAAAACACGTCAGACATAATTTATTATTCCAAGAAAAGCAATTTATACTGTATGTCTAAAAACATCAAAAACATCTGGGAGGGGTCTTTAAATGTAAAATTACTATAAAACCAAAGCTCACTCCAGTGGTGGAAAATAACACACATTCTCTTGTTGCTTCGCAAAACACTTTTTCTTTGCCAAACTCTAATGACACAGGAGAAGGAGCTTAAGAGCTTTTTTCACTTGGCGGTACATACTCAAAAGTAAGCAAGAAGAGTAAATAAAAATCTTAGGTTGACCTCCTCATTGACTTCTGACAGACTTTTCCATTTACGGTTTCTATCCATTAACTACCACCCCCACACATAAAAATTGGCATTAGTCTCGATTGTGCTGCCAGCAGCGTGTGGGTGAGAGATTTGAATTTCACACAATAACACCTGATGCTTGAGTCTTGTAGCTGCCAGCATCACATCACAAACCCTTAACCAGTGTCCCAACACAAAAACTCCTCAACAATTTGACAGTGCTGGCTCACAGCTATCACAAGCAGACACACCAAGACAATTAAGACTTTGTGTTGATATTTATGTTCTTGTTCTCGGCCATCAGCTTTTCCACACTCCTTTGGGTTCACACAAAGTTTCCAGGCTGGGAGTGGGGAGTGTGCGTACTGGCTGCCACATTCACTAACTCATATCGGTGGAAAGAGGCCCCGCTCCCAGTCACAGGCTCACTCCTTCACTAAGCTTCAGCTTACAGAGTCAGAGTCATCCTCTGTTTTCTTTTCTGCATTACTAGAGACACTCACAAACAAGCCAGTGAGCCTTAAAATATGAACACACCCAGGTAAATAGCTGTGTTTCCAGAGAAAATAAGTCCAACATCTCTTAATGCAAGGGTAGCTCCTACACATACACAGCTGCCCACAAATACAAGCACAAGATACACAAAAACACATATACATAAGCTTGAACTCAGACCGGGTCCTTAATGACACCCTTGCTCTGCTATCACCTTACGATAAAGACCTACTGGGGAGGGCGGAGGGCTGTTACGTTTCAGCTCACACCCACCTTTCCCTTTAAAGTCAGAAACTGCTAACAATGACCCCCCACACAGGCTTAGTCATAAAAAGTTTATAATTCTCCGACAGTGAAATGACAGGTTATCCTGAAATTTCAGTAGCTAACCAGAACTGCAGCTTACTCACATCAATGATTCATGAAGCCACGGCACCACACAGTTAATGAACACAAGGGTAGTCTCGGTTACAGAAGTACTTACGCTCTGTCACACTCAGCTGGGAAAACAAAAACTTCCTTCAGATCTAAAAACAAGATTCCTCTAGGTGACGCAGACAGACTGATTCCTCCCTCCAGGAAGTGTCAGGAGAAAATCCACAGAAAGAACACGAGTTCAAAGCTCTAGCAGATGACAGCTCTGAGTCCACAGGTCCACACTCTCCCTCTCTCTGACACTATGTCGTACTACAGCCTGCCTCTGACCACTCATCACGCTGGAGCTCCTCCCATCATACAGTGTCAGATAGTGGGCGGGCGGGAGGGAAGGATCAGAAGGGAGGTACACTTCAGCAGGATGGAAGAACACAAGACTTGTAACCTTTTAAAAATAGGGGGGGTTAAGGTAGATGTAATCAATAAGCAGTCTGTGCCTTTTTCTCTCCCTTCACACTTATTTCCAACGGTATCTGTGTGTGATTTGCTTGATTTTAAACTGTTCAAATAACAAAGCAAAACTAAAACAAAAACCTCAAATGTGGGATTTTCTGGTCACAAGAATGTCTACTTTTGGGAAATCACAACCACCTGATGGAAAAGAACTTTTTGCAACTGAGGTTACACAAGAAAAACATTTGCGCAACGTACTATGCCGTGGCTGAATTTATAGAGTGAGTAGGAATTACATGAGAAAAGTCCTAATCATGCTCACTTTTGTTTTGTTTTTAAAGCTCTCCTGGGAGTTAGTTTCCTTGTTATGGACTGCAGATGTTTGCCTCTCAGCCAGCTGCTTGCCCCCCACATAAAGACTGACTTTAATGATTATAATTACCAGTAACTTGAAGCTACCGGAAAATAAACCAAATCAATCAGTCTTAAATCACAGTCATCAACTAACTGCTTTCTGTGTATTTTGTATCAGTGAAAAGATCTTAAAAGTTAAGGCTACATTAAAATCTTTGTTTTTCACACATTTCAGAGTATATAATCCGTAAAAAACTTCAAATCTGCTATCCGAGGCCATCCACACATCCGCGGGCTTGAAGTCAATAAAGGATTTCGTCGCTTCTTTTAAAAACATCTAGAAGTTACCAATGATCATCACACCCATGCTCAGTACTACTAACATAGGTACCTATAAAATTACATTTATGTACAAAAGATTTTAAAGTACCTCTTTTAGTCGATAGATTCCAGCTAGCTTCTGAGCTTTAGAAAAATCAAAACATGAGATGGTGCCAAATGGTCACTGAGATTAATAAGCTGGCTACACTACCTTCTGCATGCTATAAGGTTGCTACAACATTGTTGATTTCAGGCTTTAACCTCAACTACACTGCACTTTTTTTGGTGGATCAAATGATAAATCCATTATGTGCCTGCATAGTGGCAAAAAATGCACTTTTGTGTACAAACATACACTCCTCCTGTACTTTTAGTTTTGAGCATGACTGTTTACTTGTTCACTTCTTCATAAGGGACATTGCTTTTATTTTTTCAAGTTAATCATAGACGCAACAATCTGATTCAAATGTTCAGCTGTAATTTTATCATATGCCCCCAGTGTCTGAACACTGCCACCATGTTAAAGATTTCCTACACATGTAACACTTTAAAGCAGCTTCAAGCATTTCTTCAGACAATGTGAAATTAAAACTATGTAACACTGTTTATATATAGTAAAAAACGTGCTATAACATATTGTGAATTAATGACAATCCAGCAGAGATCTACTGTACTACAGCCTACACGAAAGGCATATGAAGAAAAGACTAAGCTGAGCCACAAAGTAGTTCTAAAAAAACACTGGCAAGGACAACGTTTTCAGGCCATGACACTGAAAGTACAACAGTAGCGATGCAACTAAGTCTCAGAAGGTGCTGTTTCATGAATTGTAATGGGGACACTCAGGTCCACTGAATCACGTACTGCACTTTATGTGTTATAAACAGAGCTTAGAATTATTTGTTACTAGCATTTTAATATTAATGAAACACATCTCAAGTTTGTTAAATGTTAAACATGCATTCTAACGACATTATAGCAAAGAAAGAAGAGGTGTGCATGTAGATTTTTGATGATATGCCAATGAATGTAGACCAAAGTGTTGAAAAAGGTCTGTGAAAGTGTTACCACATAACTTCACATCTTCTCCAAAAATATTTCCAGGGTAATAAAAAGAAGTGTGTAAGATAGCGGCGTGTTGAGACGGGGACGCCTATTTCTAAAATAGCAGATGCTAATTATACACTAGGCAACTGCTAAGGAGGGAGACGTGATGCCAAGTTTGAGGTGCTGGGATTCTGAATGACAGCTCGGTGTATCTGTGCAGAATCAAAATTCCTCGTGGCCAGCTGAGACGTACTTAGGCTACTGCACTCACTGGATGTCTTATTTACAGCCCATGTCCAACATGTCCGAGGTTACACACCTCTTGTTGAGATGGACCACCTGCCGCTGCCACGCAGGCAACCTTTTGTAAACAATCCACAGAACATAAAAAGGACCCCTCCGGCGGACGTCTAAACACGTGGCTTGGACCAGCCAAACTTTTTGAAAGCTTGTGACCCCGTTAATGTGGCTGTTCTCAAAATGTCGCTTTTCATTGCATCTATTCCCCCTGACTTCTACACAAAGTGCACTCCACCAGTTACAATTAGAAAGTACACTATTCTTCAGCGACTGGAAACGGTTAACAGTTATGTTGGGTATTTTTGAAATTAGTTAGGGTTATAAATAAATATTAACAGATGGAAGGCATTTGAGTATACTGTTTGAAATAAATGAGGGTGACGAGTACAGAATTTGTTGCTTCGTGTTGGAAAATGAAGTCAAACTTTTGACCCATTGAGGGGTAAATATGAAAGGTTGTCCTGCTAGAAAAGTGTTTCTCAATCTTTTGCTCGGTGGACTAAAGGAATATAAAATAATAAAGGAACGGACATATTCGGACTTAACAAGCGCTTCAAAAGGTAACACGAGTCTGCACTTTTGTTTTTGTCTCTTGTACCATGACGGTTACACCAGTAAATCTTTTATGAATTAGACTTTGGGGCCTGTTGTTAAATAAACTGAACAATTCAATTTTGGAGAATCTAACCGATCCAACGATGTGTAGCATGTCCATATTGATATATTGATCATAAGTTTAAACATTAATATTTGTTAATATTTGCATGATCTAAGCAGCTTAGAAGCAGCTAAAGCGGGCGACCTTGCGGGGTTTAAGAGGTTTTATACATCCAAAGAACTTCTAGAAAATCCAGAGCAGGCGTCTAATCGAGACCTGCGTTTATTTGTCAAAACGTGTTCCCACACCGGGCCAGTAAACTGGGAAGGCGGCTATTTGGGACTCAGCTCTTAATTGTACGGTATTAATTGTGCAGCCTTACTATGTATGGAATTGTAGTGAAAATAAATTATTCTCCTTTTTGCTGGGGACCCCCTGGGGGGTCTCTGGACAAGAATCACTGTGCTACATTATGTGCACTATTATGTGTTGTATTTAAGGTAATTTGTATTTATCTTTTATATTTCTATTATGATGTATCTTATCATATAAAAGTAAAAATAGGATATTTTTGTATACATAATATGTATGGTGATCTATAAGTCACATGATGATCAGTGGACAGTATTTAAAGAAACTGGAAACAACCTTACACCTCCCTGAAGAAGGCAAGATAGCTGAAAATGAGGTGAATAAAGCATGATAACAAATACATTTAAACATCTGGCACATTATAAGCTTTTGTGATTTCAGTTGACCACATGAAAATACAAGTTCAGATCATTCTCTTCTGCATGTTTCACACACAGCAGGCAGAAGTGCTGACAGGTCATTCTATATAAATGAATAACAGTCGAGGAATTACAGCGCCGCGATAAGCCCTCGTGTTCCACATATTAGCTTAATGGAAACACACCAGATAACCGCACTAGGCTACTTAGAGTCGCTGAGGCTGACAGAAGCACTGAAGGCATCTGAGCAACCCCAGCACACAACTCTCAGCTTCTTGTTATCCCTCCTGTGTTCAGGGGTTACACTGACTGTCATCGAGATGAATCTCGGTTTTCCTGCAGTAACCTGTTCATTAAAACAGCGTCATTTTTGGAGTGGGGGGCTCTTTCCATCCACAGATACGAGATATGATTAAAACGCAACAAATAAAACCAACTTTCACTTCCTCTTCCTCCTTCGTTGCCTTTATCTTAGCATCTATATGTTACTAGAGGAATGTACAAGGAACTAGGCACTAGGAGTGCTTTCCTATGTGCCAGATTTTTTCTTTTTTTCCCCCCAAACAACCCTGAGACCATGGTTTCAGCACTAAAATCACTGTGAAGAAGTGAAATATATATTTCACTTTTTAGCAAAAACACAGCTGTGCATCTTACAGGTTTATCAGTGGTTTGCATTTAACAGCAGGGCTGTGACACTTGACACTTTCTTAAAGCATCTGATCAGTGCTACCAGCTAAAAGAAAAATTAACTAACAAAACAAACTAACTCTCTAAAGCAAACCAGCTACCAAAGTCACAACTAGGGATCTGACTTCATCAGTCCCGATTCTGATACCAATACCTGGGCTTTGGGTATTGGCCGATGCCGAGTACCAATCTGAAACCAAAATGAATAAGCTATATTCCTCACAGTGAGGAAGCGGTTGAATATCATTCTTTTATCTGTAAGGCAACATCAGGCTTGACTCAAACAACTTCCTAACTTTGTAAAACTAAATACTACGTTGGCTCTCCTAGCAAAATGTTCGGGTCTACCGATGCACCGCTGACGCATCACAAAGTACGAGCGTAACTGACTTGAATAGGTTGGCCCCCTTGTCACAGATCCCCGATCCAGCTATTTGAGTCAGTATCAGGCCACTATCCGATATCAGCATCGGATTGGTGCATCCCTAGTCACAACTACTCAAGTCAAGGCCTCACCCTGTTGTCACAATACTTACATTTGTCTTTTGTACATGTTGAGCCACAGTCTTAATGTAAAACCAGGTCAATGTAAAACAGACGCTGATGTGTCATTTTCAGTTCATGGTTTGGATGTTTTACCCCTAAACATACAGTTTTTCCCTTAAGTAGCTTAAAGCATGTTAAAATCATTGTACTCCACACGATTTGATGGCATCAGCTTGATCCAACTCTCCATTAAACCTAAATGATCTTTACCCTGAGAGAAATACTCAAACAAAAGCTTTTATGGTGAGCCACTTCTTTCTCCTTTGATA